CTATACAAACTCTACATTTTGGTATACATGTTATAAATGTAGAGTTTGTATAGTATACATGTTATATACAAACTCTGCACTTATAACATGTATACTATACAAACTCTACATTTATAACATGTATACTATACAAACTCTACATTTATAACATGTATACCATACAAACTCTACACTTATAACATGTATACCATACAAACTCTACATTTATAACATGTACACTATACAAACTCTACACTTATAACACATATACCATACAAACTCTACACTTATAACATGTATATTATACAAACTCTACATTTATAACATGTATACTATACAAACTCTACATTTATAACATGTATACTATACAAACTCTACATTTATAACATGTATACTATACAAACTCTACATTTATAACATGTATACTATACAAACTCTACATTTATAACATGTATACTATACAAACTACATTTATAACATGTATACTATACAAACTCTACACTTATAACATGTATATTATACAAACTCTACATTTATATCATGTATACTATACCTAACCTAACCTTACAAACTCTACACTTATAACATGTATACTATACAAACTCTACACTTATAACATGTATATTATACAAACTCTACATTTATAACATGTATACTATACAAACTCTACATTTATAACATGTATACCATACAAACTCTACACTTATAACATGTATATAATAAGAATATTACTTTAATAACACGTAGACTGTAAAAACATGCGACTATTAGCATGTATAGAATGTAAAAATAATATTTATACATGAATGTAAGAGAAACAGGATACTATTACCATGGAAACAAGGAAGGAAAAATAGAAGATTACTAGCATATAATATTGATACAGGTTACTCCTATACAATTAGTGAAAGGAGAGTAACCACATGAACACGCAGATACATGCCATTAACATCTTGTACACAGTATGAGAAAGACATAAGTTGACCGGTCCCATATAGAGACAGGGTAGAGAAAATAACAGTTAAAATATATAGTTTTACTGAATAAAAAACTTTTGAAATGTATTTAGGAGGTTTTAGGGATTACATAAAAGAAATTTGAGAACTTGGAGATGAAGAAAAGTATTTTTAAACTTCACACGGAAATTACTTTGCACACGGATTATTCAAAACAAATACTCGATACATTCATGAACAAATCTTTATTTTAGTTTATTAAAAATACTTCACTAAAAAGTACAGTTTTTTGTATGGGAAAGACTTGTAATATTAACTGAAAGACTGCCAAATTTTGTGAAGATGTACACACTATATTGAAAGTTAGAAGTATTAAATCTAAAAAGACTTTAAAAGAGGACAAAGAGGTTACGTGTTCGGTCAAATTGACTGAGCCTGTGTTGAGAGAGTTAATATCTTGTAATAATACGAGCAGGGCATAACCAACATGCAACCACCAGAATAGATCATTAGAAAACACAGAAACAAGCCATTAATATCTTGTAAACAACACAAGCAGGGCATAATCAACATGCAACCATCAGAAGAGATAACAAGAAAACACAGAAAAAATTAATATCTTGTAAACAATATGAGCAGGGAATAATGGACATGCAACCATCAGAATAGATAATAACTAACATTTATATTACAGGAGCAGAAAATAACTAACTTGTACATTAAACAAAGATGATATTATCAGTTCATACAATCTCGGTAAAAAAAGGTTATACTTACGACCTTTTCTTCCATCTTTGATGATTTTTTCTACTTCATTTGTTGTTCCACCTTTGGAACGCTCAAAGTTGTTGGAAAGGTGGTGAGTTCTGTAATACTCTGGTGTTTTACCATGCTGTATACAACATAAGATATTTAAATATTGCCTCAGTTTCAACAGTTCCTAACATTGTAAAGTAAAATCTTTCAATGCAAAGAAAAACATGGCAAAGTATAAAGCATTTTCAGGGATAACTAGTAGATTTTGAGTATGTGCATGGGCAAAAATTTCATCTTATGTGTTTTATAAATTTAAATATAAGATTATTATATTTCTAGAATCTCTCCCGAGTAGACCTTATTACATAATTTCCAATCCTAAAGTTGAACACTCCATGTAGCTCTACTGTATAAAGACAACTCTCCTGAGTAGAACTTTTTATGTGATTTACTATCAGAAATATCCTGAAAAACCCTGCTGCACTGACTTCCCCCCTTGAGAAATGACCTGTTCCATGAGAAGGGATCTAATAAACCAAAGTTAATAGAGACAAGAGAACTACTTATGTTGAAAGTAAATAACCACAAGATACTAGAGCTGGAGTACACACAGATGTAGTGCAAACAGAATTCCTTTTAATGTAGGAGGAAAGACCTAAATATCCAAAGAGAACATGTTCTCCAAAGGACATCAAAGTACAATAGTGAAGAATACAATAACTGTAAATTGTCATTCATGATATGAATGTACTAAGTCTCACATCATCAACTGTAGTAGAATCGAAACTTTAGATTAAGGAGAAGAGGGCAGGTCATTCCTTCTTTCAGGATTGTAAAGAGTAAACACAGCTTTAACAGTAGTAGAATCTAAACTTTAGATTAAGGAGAAGAGGGCAGGTCATTCCTTCTTTCAGGATTATAAAGAGTAAACACAGCTTCAACTGTAGTAGAATCTAAACTTTAGATTAAGGAGAAGAGGGCAGGTCATTCCTTCTTTTAGGATTGTAAAGAGTAAACACAGCTTCAACTGTAGTAGAATCTCAACTTTAAATTAAGGAGAAAAGGGTGGGTCATTCCTTCTTTCAGGATTGTAAAGAGTAAACACAGCTTCAACTGTAGTAGAATCTCAACTTTAAATTAAGGAGAAGAGGGTAGGTCATTCCTTCTTTCAGGATTGTAAAGAGTAAACACAGCTTCAACTGTATTAGAATCTAAACTTTAGATTAAGGAGAAGAGGGTAGGTCATTCCTTCTTTCAGGATTGTAAAGAGTAAACACAGCTTCAACTGTATTAGAATCTAAACTTT